CTGTCTCTTTTGGCTGGGTTGCCACACTGGTAAGATATAAATCCAGGGCTGCCAGTGGCTATTTCGCCACCACATCCTACGAGAAAGCCAAACAGAGACAACCCCTGCTGAGAGATGAAGAGACAGCTCCTCCCCGGCACCCCTGGAATCGAGCACCACCTGAGGTCGGCTGCACCTTTCACAGAAGTCCACTGAAACCGGGCCGTCACTTGCAACTGAGGGAGTCTGAGTGAGTCCAATTCAATGAGAAGCCACCTATTATCCCCACCTCGCAGATGAGGAAGCCGAGCCCAGGGAGATGCAGCAAAGCACTCCAGACCACATGGCCAATAAACAATGGGGCCAGCGATAACCTAGCCTCCCTGAGGCCCACACCTCACTGTTTTCTACGATGGGTGTTACCAACCAGAGGCTCTATAGCTCCGAGTGCCCCTACAGAAAATGAAAGAGAAAATACCGTGAATTGTGCCTTTGGAACCAATATGAAGAAGCTGCACTTCTTACATACTAAGAGGAAGAGTAAGAACTGACTGGTGACATGATTTAAAGCAAGGTCCTTACAAAGAGCCAAAAATCAACACATAGGTGAACAATGTAGGCATTTATCAATTCTACTTAGTGAATCAAATGAATCAGCATGGAAATTGAATGGAAAAAGGAACTGAGATCCTTTGGTGGTGATATAGGGTAAATCCTGACTGGCTGCTGTTCAGACTGCCCGCCACGTTCCACCAGATGGTAACAGCCCAAAATAAAAACTGCTGCAAATGCAATTTAGACAAATTCAAGAATCGTATGAATAATGGCTCCATAATAGCTTATTAAGGGGAGTTACACATATTTAAAGCACACTCCTATGTTTTTGAGGTGATGGCTGGAAGGTTATGGGGTCTTCCCACAGTAGCTCCCTTAATTCCATTCTCAGTGGCACAATGCTGGACTGGAAAAACCATTTGTCTGATGGAGGATAGAGATTCTCGTGTTCTTACGGGAAAACATTACAGAAAGCAATGACTCTGCTCAATGGCCTTTAGTAATTCTGCACTCTGAAGATTTCACTGAGAATCCTCTCATCCATGGACTGAACTTTACTTAAATCCACTTAAAGTTTCGGAGGATAACACTCACGAGAAAACTTTCATTGGTTGCCATTTTGTTTTAAGAAAGCAAACTGACCTATGAGTCAAACTTTAGGAGACTCTTGGCATTTTTGTAATATAACAAATGTCAGAGGCATCTTTCAACTTCGCCATGGGCCACTGTGATGGAAATAGACGGTCATGTTTCCCGCTGAAAAGCAGCAGCATGCTCCCGCTGTGGGTCAAGTGTCTTATCCGAGGCCAAGACATCCAGGAGCGCCGAGAAGGCAAACCTGCCACCAACACCACCAGCGTCTTGTAGCTTCCTCGAGCGTCAAAAGAGAGGGAACATTCCCATCAGACACAAAAATCTCCTCCCAGTGAAAGCCTGACAGCTTTGGAAAAAATAACTAATTTGTCCAGCCATTTATAAGCTTAATTTTAAGAACAGAAAAAAAAAAATCTGCCAGTTAAGGAATATTCTTCCCATTTCTAACAAGATGTTTTGAGGATTCTCTTAGTGACTTTTGCCAGTATCATCAAATACTGCAATTAACAAAACACCAGGTCTCATCACATGCTCAGCTACAGGTGTCTAGCACCTTTTCCGATAGAGAGAACTGACTGGTGATTTTTTAAATGGACATGACTAGTAGAAAATCTACCCGAATACATTAAACCAATCGGTGTGTGTCTTTACTCTCACAAAGTAACGATGGCATGAAGGGACACTGCTATTTGTCTACTGGGCTGTTAGTTTAGCCTTCCTTACCAGCAAAAGGACGACTGACCCTGGACCTTGCAATGCTGTGTACCATGGCCACACCTGTGGTGTGGGAATTCAGAAATCCCCTGCCATGTATTCGTATCTCTTGTAGGAAAGCAGGAAGTCAAACAACAAATGATCAGAGCTAACAACAGAAGTGAGCATAATCCAGATTCAATCCAGTTCCTATCTATTGCTGACAAGACAAAACCGGAAGCTGCCCGGAACCACGCCCCCACCCCACACCCTGACTTTTCTGCCCCACCACTCCCCTTCCTGCCCATGCACAGCAGCACCTCCACACCTTCAGGTTGGCAAGTGCCTCTGTGAACTCTCCCCTGACCTTGACCTGCATTCCCACCCTACAGAGCAAGGTTCTCTTTTCCTCCCAGCTCCCGCAGCTTCCTGTGTACAGATTGGGTATTACCCTCACGACATCATGCAGGACGCAGGTATGGGCACCTCTGCTGCCAGCACTGTCCTATAAGCTCCTCTAGGGTCTGGCCTATACTCAGTCCTCTCCAAACACCCTAGGCCAACTGTGTGCCAGACACATCCTGGAGGCACACATAATGTGTGGCATTCAACAAAGAAGATGATCCCGAACACGCAGATGTGCCTGGCCTGTGCCCCTGTCTCAAGACCTCAATGGGGTTCTGTTGAGAAGACACCACTGCAATGTCATCGAGGAATCCAGGGAAACTCATGTGATGAGCAGGAGCCTGTCGTGTGGGTCTGAGCAGGGTCTTAGCCTGTGGGCTTCACGGGGCTTAAAGTCATCTCAGGGCTTACTTTGGGCTCTCTGGCTGCTCCCATGTAATTCCTGGAGTGTCAAAAGCAAACCTGCGGGTTGGGTGTGCGTGTGTGATTAGTGCATATGAGTGAGAACACGTGTGGGGCAGCACACACGTGAGTGATGGTGAGCGTGAGAAGGTTCCTGTCTGCTCGGGTGTGTGAGTGTGCTGGGGGTGGGGGAGATGCCACAGCTCCCCAAGGGAAGGACCTGTGATGGCGAAGTGTTCACAAGGATGGACTTCTCGTAGAATTTAACCAGCTTGTGAGAAGAAGCCGTTAAGGGCTGGAAACAAACCCCCGCCTTTCATCCATCTGGGAGAATTTCATAGTCAATGGTTTTGACCCACACTTAACAGTTTATGTTCTATGTAATCTGATTTACATTAGAATTAAAAACAAACACTTCCCTGCCATCAATGGAATACACACCTGATGAGGTGCTGACGAGAACACCAAGGGAGACAGAGAGAGTACCCTCGTGATGGAGATCCGGTAAGAGGGGTTCAAAGGAGAATGAGCACATCCCTTTAACACCATCCCATGAGCTGGAAATATTGCAAAGGCACTTCCTCCAGTGCAGAGGAAGGGACATGTGCACATGGTGCCTGTGTAAGCAGGTGTGTGCACGGCAGAGGGAAGGGGAGACAGGGCAGCACCTTCATCATTTAGAACAGAGGCCACCTGAAATGTGTGGAAACACTGAGGATCCTTGCTGTGCGCATCGAGCACCCTGAGATGGGGCTCAGACTCCTCTTCTCACCCTTCCTGCTCCAGAGCAGTGCAATGGAAAGGACCCCCTGGGCCTCCAAGTCAATACTGAGACCAATACTGTACACCTGCTTTGCCAAGAGTCCCTCACTCAATTACTTGCTTATTCCTCAACTCTTTCATTTCAGAGAAGTGTAGGGAGCAGATGGTGGTGATGGTTACACAATACAAATGTAATGTCACTGAACTGTGCTCGTAAAAATTGCTAAAATGATACATTATATCTCACCACAATAAAAAGGATAAGGAGAGCCCACTATGTGCCAGTCACTGGACACACTTTGTTCATGCAATCATTCATTCATTCAACCATGTACAGAGGGCCTGTGTGCCCAGAGCTATTCAAGATACTGGACATACAACAGTGAAAGAACAGAAGAAACTTCTTGCCCTCCTGGAGATGTCATTCTAGTTGGGGAGACAGACAATAAATGGCATAAGTAAAATGCGCCGTATGGTGGACAGGGAGAAGTACAAAGGAGAAAAATAAAGCCAAGAAGTTCAGTATGCAGTGTCAGGGGCAGGTGCAGTTTTAGACACCAGGGCCAGAGCTAGCATCACTGAAAAGGTGACTCTGAGTAAAGATCTAAAGAAAATGAGAGTCAGCCACAGAGATATCAGTATAAAAAAAAAGTTCCTAACAGAAGGCCGAGCAAGGGCAAAGGCCCTGGGGCAGAGCAAGCCTGGCACAGCTGAGGAACAGCAAGGAGACAAGTGTGGAGGAGTGAGGGGAGGGCACAGTAATAGGAGGCCAGCTGGGAATAAAGGGACGCTCCTACAGGGGTGCAAAACAAACGTCGGCCATTTCCTGCCAGCAGTCAGCACAGAGAATAACCAGACCAATTAATAAATAATCATAAATGATGCTGTCAAGAAAACAAGTTGGCCATAATGATAGAGAAAAATATGGGAGGACCTTTTAGATGGAGGAATCCATGAAGGCCTAATGGAGGCAACATCTAAGCTACAAACTAATGGATAAAAAGGAGTTTTCAGGTGGAAAACTATGTTTGAAAGCTCTGTGGCAACATATATTTATCATTCAAAGGACACTGAAAAGATGCTGATATGGCCAATGTGCCACGGGCAAGAGAGAGGATGGACAGGGATGCAGGAGAGAGGCAGGGACGACACCCAGCCTGTGGACACCAGCACAAAGCCCAAGTTGTGTTCATATAAAGATGGTCTATAAAGGGGCGTTTAGATGGGGAACATGCTCGGCTTTGTTTTTAAAAGGCCACTCTGGAAACTGTGTGGAGAAGAGACTGGAGGCACAAAGGATGGTGGTGGTTTAGATCAGGGAGGTGGAAGCAGAGACAAAGAGAAGTAAGAGGAGAGTTTCACAATAAATCCAGAAGGCTGGGCACCGTGGCTCACGTCTGTAATCCCAGCACTTTGAGAGGCCAACGCAGGTGGATCACTTGAGCTTATGAGTTCGAGACTAGCCTGGGCAACACGGTGAGGCCCTGTCTCTATAAAAAATACGAAAATTAACTGGGCATGGTGGCACATGCCTGTAGTCCCAGCTATTCAGGAGGCTGAGGTAGGAGAATCGCTTGAGCCTGGGAGGTCGAGACTGCAGTGAGCCAAGATCGTACCACTACATACCAGCCTGGGTGACAGAGTGAGACCCAATCTCAAAAACATAAATAAATAAATAAACCAGAGGCAGAGAGGGCCAAAAAAGTTGATGATTCTGATGGTAGGGGGATAAAAAGAAATCTAAGACATTCTCAGGCTCAACTTGTGGGGTCAACACCTAGGTGGGCTTGACACCATCCACTGGGACTGGAAGGGCTGGGAGTGGCCAGGCTTGGAGAAAGACCTGGGTTCCATCCTGCACGTGGCAAGCTTGAGATGCTTTTGAAACATACAAGTCTAGAAGAACAACAGGTCAGGGGAAGAGATGTAAAAATCTGGCAGTCAACAACAAATTAGCATGTAAAGAGAGAAAGAGACAGACAAGAAGAGTTTGGTAACCTCAAACAAATCAGTCCATGGACTGAGTGGTAGTTTTCTCATTTGTAAAACCTGGGTAATGTCTGAGGCACTTCCAGAGAATGTTATGAGACCAATCGCTGAGGGTCAGAAGTTTCCTACCATCTGTTCCTTTAGAGAGGATTTGTCAAGCAAGCCTGGCCCTGGGTCTGGTTTGGACTGTCCTACCAAAGCAGAACAGCTTGGGACAGTCACAATCATTGCCACACAGGTCACCCTTTTCTGTAATTAGGCCTTTGCAATAAAACTCACTGTCTTATGCAGAGACACAAATGGGGGAGGTCTAAAAAAGACGATATTATTTTCCTGTTTAGGGTTCACGGTTAACTGACATACCTGTAGGTTTGGTTCCTATGGAGAAGTGTGGCTATCACCCTGTGGACAGGACAGAGGTGGCCCATCCTTTTCCAACTCCCCCACCTCTATCCCAGCCTCCCTGACTACAGAGAACCCCTCATGACTATTATTAAAGGCCTAAGTGAGACTGTGGGATCCTGGCCAAACACACCCCATTCGTACAACCAACTATCGACAGCTATGGCTGCCAAGTAAACAATCCACGGAGCTGGGCAAGTGGGTGCATGTGACAACTCTCTCCAGCCACCCTACTGCCCCTACCACAAGGCACAACCTAAGTGTTTGGGTTTCTGTGGGTAGAGGAAAGTGTTTGTGAATGGTGTCAGGTTTTTCTGTGTCTAAATCCTGAATCTCCTTTTCCTTCTCTTCCATAATTATCCATCAAATCAAATCACATCACCAGAGAGAAATCCACAGCCAAAGCTTGCCCTCATCAACTCATCTCCAAAGAAAGATTCAGACACACACAGGAAATGAATCATTCAGATACTTCCCCACAACAAACTTGATCCTAAACTCCCTTTCCTGCCCTCCCCGCTTAAGAACCCCCTGCCCTGACCCAAAGCCCACGAAGCACCCAAAATCACCAGTGGCAGACACGGATGTCATTTAGGAATAATGGGCTGCATTCGCAGGAAGGAGTGAGGCAGCCAGCAGATTTGCCCCAGTTGCCCCAGAGGAGGCTGTGGACTGGCCTGAGAGCCATCCACTTGACCCTGGCTGGACCAGTCCTGCACGCTGCATCACGAGGCACAGTGTGACTCATCTGTCAATGCCCAGCTCTAAGCTCACTTTTTCCAGGAAGCCTTCCTTGACCATTTTTAGCCTCTGCTAACGACTCGTTCTTTGAAATTACGATACTTAAATTTATCCTGTTCATTTGGCACTTACCACATACTGCAGAGTGATATGTGTTAGACTGTACCTTGCACTTAATATTTTGCTCATGCATTAAACAGTGTGCGAGAGTCCGTATGTTTGGATGCACATGGATGTGTATGTTTGCATGTGCTATCTTAACTTCTTTGTTCAATTTCCTTTGAGCTATGACCATTGACAATCCTTTCCCTAAGAAGGTACAATCAAGATATAATTATCACAAATATAGCTACGTTGACGTTTACAGTTCAAAGCCAGAAAAGCTCCTCCAAGATATTTGTAAGCCTATGTTGAATTTGTGTTTAGTAGCATCACCTCTACTTTCCATAACTATACCTCAGGGCAATCAATAGAGGAGTTCAGGTAAGTATCTCTGGAGCAAAACCAAGTAATCAAGTATTCATGGAGTGTTTACCGTATAACTTTGGAATTATGCTCAGTGTACATATAAAGGCATTTTAGAACCTCCCCCACAAAATAAGCTTTCTCATTAATTAGAAGACAATCCTTCCACAGCATTCCATTCCTAAGCACTGTTGTTAAGTAAGTTCTACTGAAAGGAAGTCCTTGATCTTTGAAGCAGAATAAATTCCTGAAAAAGGCTCTGTAAGTTGAAATGTAAATCAAATCTAACTTTTACCACAGAAACAACGTTAAATTAGACAATTATGTTCTGGACCAAAGACCAATTGCCAGTATTTAAAAGGAATAATTACATTTTATTTTATTTTTTTTATTATTTATTTATTTTTTTTTTTTTTTTTTTTTTTTTTTTTTTTTTTTTTTGAGACGGAGTCTCGCTCTGTCGCCCAGGGTGGAGTGCAGTGGCCGGATCTCAGCTCACTGCAAGCTCCGCCTCCCGGGTTCACGCCATTCTCCTGCCTCAGCCTCCCGAGTAGCTGGGACTACAGGCGCCTGCCACCTCGCCCGGCTAGTTTTTTGTATTTTTTTAGTAGAGACGGGGTTTCACCGTGTTAGCCAGGATGGTCTCGATCTCCCGACCTCGTGATCCGCCCGTCTCGGCCTCCCAAAGTGCTGGGATTACAGGCTTGAGCCACCGCGCCCGGCCGGAATAATTACATTTTATTTCAAAGAGTTATAAATTGCAAGTAATCCTAACGATTATCCATATAGCTAAGGACCATAATCATAATAGTTACCACTATAGAACGATGCCAGAGATTATGCTAGATGCATTTCATATATTCAGCATGTAATTTCTCCCAATAGCCCTAGGAACCAAATCTTTCACTTTACAAAAGAGAAAACCAAGGCCTAGGGCTGCTGTGTTTCAACTAAGGCTCTGCAGCTACTTAATGGCAGAGCAAGAATTTAAACTCAGAAGTATCTGGCCCTAAAGTCAAAGATCTTTCTACTATCCCAAATAGCCTCCCCAAATCAATTATAAAGAATATATTTAATACTGCATAGTTGAATGCCTGATATCAATTAGACAGAGTTCTAGAGAAACAATCATATTTTATCAAATGGATTTAGTAAGAGTTCCAAGACAAGGACCATCTCTGAAAGGCAAGGGTACCCTAATACTAGTAGGGAGAGTTCAGACAGGGCCTGAGACAGCGAATTATTAGAATCGTCACTGTATATGGAGACCTAACACATTCACTCCTTTAACAAAATATTGAATAAGTACCTACTATGTGCCAGGCACTCTTCTAAGTGCTATGGATACAACAGTAAACAGAGTCCTCCATTGTGGAACCCACATTCTAGTGGAGAGCACAGAGATGACAACCCCTGGCCAACATGTATGCCTAAGCCAGTGAGCAGTGGTAAGCACTTGGGAGGGTAAGTAGGACAGGGTGTGCCTCTCCAAGGGCAGAGGGACGTGAGAGCTTACAGTGTGGAAGGGAGGCCTCAACTGGAGATGCACGAGATGTTGGCTTCTGGATAGATTTGAAACTCCAGACTCGGTAAGATCATTGAGGGAGTGACTGCTGATGGAAACAGGAGGAGAAGGTCTCAAGACTCCTCCAGGCACTCCAACAAGACAACAAATGGCCAGGAAGAATCAGGAAAGGAGACTGAGAGGAAATAACAGTGAGGCAGGGGGGAACACCAAGATAGTGTGGTATCCTGGGAGCCAGGAGAAGATGAGAAGTGCATTAAGGAGGGAGGATGTTAGATGTGGAATTAAGTACAGTGAGGGATGGAAACTGACACTGGATTTAACAGCAGGAAGACCAGTTGTGATCCTGATGACAGCAGATTTGGTAGGCTGGAGGGAGCAAAAACCTCATGACGATGAGTTCCAAGAGGAATATGAGAGGAGGAATAGGCAGCAGGGAATATGGAAAATAATTTGAAGCATTTAGTCACACAGGAAAAGAGAAATGGGGTAGTAGCTAATGGCTGAAAAGGAATCAATAAAGGGTTACCTAAGTGGGAGATATTAACAAGAATATGTTTGTGTGTATTGACTGGGAAGATCCAGTCTAGAAGAAAAAGCTGACAGAGCAGGAAAAACGCAGGAGAACTGCACTGCCATATACTTCAACAGGCAAGGCTGGATGCAACCTGGTGTGCAAGTGAAGAAGCTGGCCTTAGCAAGGGGTGTGCATGGTCACCCATGCTAACAGGGGAGGCAGCAATATCTGTGGACAGAAAATGTGGCAGTGGGCACTTTTGAGAAGTTCTCTCCTGGTAGCTTGAATTTTCTCAGGGAAATGGGAAGTAAAGCCATCAGCTAAGAGTGAGGCTGGAAGGTGCTGGAGGTTTCAGGAGAGAGGAGAATACATGAAATCACTCTCTAGAAATGAGAAAGAATGGTCCTGAATGTAGCATCAATGCCAGTGGCATGAAGTTCTTGCTTGAAGTTGGTGGTCATTTTAAAGAATACCAATCATCGTAGCTGAATGACATTTCCAGTCATGCTTAGCTGCTCAGCTGCAGGTCCGTAAGAGGGTGAAGAGCTGCAGCGAAGCAAGTCTGAGGTCTTGCCAAGACAGTATGCAGTACTACCCTCCCACCTTCTTTCCACAGAACTTCATTATTCACAAATAGTCACATGATCTCATTTGATCCAAATAGCCCCTTGATGTGTCCATCTCTGTTAAGGGAGCATCCTGAGGCTCAATTAGGTTAAACCACTTATTTAGAGTCATGAGGCAAGGTCTTCTAACCCCCAGCCTAGTGCTTTGCCCACGCCATGCTCCTTTCAGTCAGAAAGAAACCTATAAGGAGAACTCCTCATTCTCTAGGAATTCCTGATGCAAGCCCGCCTTGCAAGACTGGCAAAAGCCTTGACCCTTGCTTCTGCCTCAGCCCGTCCAGCCAGCAGTGTAGATAGTGTATACAGCCCAGGCAGCGTACATGACACATGTCCATAACTACACAGAGATTAAGCAATTAAGCTGTTCATTGCAATAAAGTATTTATTAATGAAAATATTCTGAAATCCAGACTTTGAGCTTGGCTTATTTTTTATGAATACATGGTTTTCTGTGAGTGGCTATGTTGTCTGCCCTTTATCTCTTATTACATTAATCCTAGAGAGTAAGTTCTCACTCCTCTGTAATCAAACACTTGAGGCTCACCCTCCGGTGAGGTGGGAGTAGAAATACAGTTCTATTTTGAAAGGTGGCTGAATTCTTTAAGGTCACAGGGGCACCTTTAAATGAAGCAAAGGCAGTAATTTACTCAGAAGACACTTTGAGGTCTGACATTTACGAATACCCCAAGTAGGGAATGGCTGTGTGTCTAACACCTTTTGTTCAACAGCACAGGAACTCAGATGAGCAACAAAGCCTCTTTCATAATGAAAACTGTGTGCTCCCTACAGATCCTGTACAGAGATTGTAAATAAATTCTTATAATTTTAGTGTAATGTTGGACATCAACAATAATAAATAATAAATAGGCCAAAGTGAACTTTAGCAATGAATTATTAGTGAGCGTGTGCTGAATTGGGGTACCATGCCTCAGGTACCATGCTATGCATCCACGGGAGATCCTGCAGTGAATATAGCTGGTCCCTTCTCTCACCAAGATTACTGTCTCCATAAGACTCAAAGACAGTACCTAGAGGAATTCAGAATGGAAATGCTACTTGGGCCAGGAGTTTGCATAAGGAATTACAGTGCTGCCTAATCTGCTGCTCCCCTTGGGGAGGACGACTGCTACCCGCACGGCTTGTTAACAGATAGATGAAGAGTCTACCGTGAGCAAAGAGCATGCCAGGCTCAATCTGAGCCCTGAAGGAAAACAGCAGGGCTGACAGTAGGGAAAGAACTTAAGACAGACCTTTGTCTCAAGTTGCTTAGCATGTGATGGAAGAACACCCATGCAAGAGCTGCCTAAGTGGTGCAAGTTTCCGACAGAGAGGCAAACAAGTTGCCGCAGGAGCTCTCGGGGAGGACTGGTGGGGCACAGGCCTGCTCCAGAGGCCCTCTCTGCCCTCCTTTCAGCCAACAGCTCCCTTTACTCAGCAAACAGCTCTCAAGTGGCTCCCATGTGCCAAGCTGTGGCACATGTGTGGAAGACACAGCAGTGAAAAAGACAAAGTCTCTAGTCCTCTAGGAAGTGACTTCCTAGTGGGGGGGGGGAAGCGAGGGAGGGCAGACAATGAATATGTGTCAGGTGCCATTTGGAACTCAGGGAGGGCTGGCAGAGATGAATGTGGGTGCTATTATGGGAGAGGGTGCTCAGGGAGGACCTCTCTGAGAAGATGGCATTTGAGCAGAGACTCAGGTGATTAGGAGTAAACCAAACACCCATCCAGGGAAGCACACACAGGTAGAAGGAAGAGGAGAACAAATGCTTGGGGTGAAAGGGTGCCTGGCATTCTGAAGAACAGCAAGGCAGTCACTCGTGCAGAGAGAAGGGGGATGTCAGCAAGAGGTGAAGGGGGAGCAGGCACTGACAGATCACATACTCTCCAGGCTATGGTAAGAACTTGCTATGCTCTGAAAGCTGGGAAGACTTCAGACTGATAGATTTCCTTAGGGAGGTGTCTTCCCATTGTCTAGAAATTCTCAGATACAGCATTTATAAATTTTCAGTACCTAATCATTCTTCACTTTGGCCACCCAGATTGGAAAAGGCTAAGATGTAGAGAACTGGTATTATTTGCAATTTGTCTGCTATTTACAGTATAAGTAATACTTTCTACAGAGAAAGGGTCATGGGAGAGAGCAGTTTGTGCCTCAGTAGGTGAGTGTACTACAAATTCTATTTGATATTACTCTGATATCACATTTGGGGAGCAGAAGTATTCCCAATGGAGACTCTGGGTATTCTAGTTCAATTCCTCCAATAGACATTATTAAGTACCAAACCACATTATCAGCTATTTAAGACCAACGGGGTACAGTTACCTCCTACTTGATAAATAAGGCAACTTAAGCATAGAAGATGCATTATCTTGTTTTTCACCTTACGCAATCATACATACATACTACGATTAGTATAAATCATACTACACAAGCTTCCACATACCTTTTGAAGTTCCTCAGTACATTTTCTGGAATTATCAGTGCAACTGAACTTAAACAGAAGACACTAGTAATCTATCAGACTGACTTTCCTTCCCTTTCTCCCTCCTCTCCATTTAACAAGAATCAAAAGTTTTCTACAAGCCACTATATCGTGTGCATTTGAGATTTGGGCCACGTAGATAAATAGAGCTCAAGACACTCAAATGAAATTATATCTGCTAAATTTTCAGCAAACGAGTCAATGCAATAGTAATGACAAATCATCTTCCAAAGTCTCAATGTGTGTATGCGTGTGTGTGTGTGTGTGTGTGTGTGTGTGTGTGTGTGTTACAGTCAAAAATTCTCCTGCAATCTTGCTTTTAAAGAGTAGGAAGCTTTCCAAGAATCTGCTGATGACGGACTTGACTTACTGATATCAAGAATTATTATAAAGGCATACTAATTAATACAGTACAGTGCTGACAGACAAATTTGTCACTAAACAATGAACCCAGAAATAGATATGGGCATATAAGGAAATGTGATTTGTTATAAAGCATGTATTATAGAGGTGGGGAAAGGGTTAGATTTTAAGTAATCTGTGCTGAAACACTGATAATCCACATGGAAAAAAATTAAACTGGGCCCCTACCTCACACCACACACAAAAATCTACTAGGAAGCAACTGAAGACCTAAATGCTAAAGGCAAAAAAAAAAAAAAAAAAAGTTTCAGAGGACATATAAGAATATCTACATGTCATATCATGGTAGAAAAGGTTTCCTTAAACAAGAATTCCTTAAACTGCTTTGGTTCAAGTCCTGGCTCTACCATTTACTACCTGAGTGACCTTGAAAAAGTCACGTAACATTCTGTGCCTCAGTTTCCTCACCTATACAATGGGAAATAGCAACAGTACTTGCCTCTAATGTTATTATGAGGATTAATGAATATTTATAAGGTGCTTTGAAAGGTGTCTAGCATATACAAAGTACTCCATAAATGCTAATTTTAAAACTAAAGAAAAAAAATCCTAATGGAAAAAGATAAATTAGCTACATTAAAATTAAGAACTTCTGTTTATCCAAAGACACCACAAAGAGATCAAAAGGACAAGCCACAAACAAGGAAAAAACATTTCTATCATGTACAATCAACAAAGCATTAGTATCCAGAGCACATAAAGAAGTTTAATAAATGAGTATTAAAAAGACAAGCCAGCAAATCCCAGCACTTTGGGAGACCGAGGTGGGCAGATCACTTGAGGTCAGGAGTTCGAGATCAGCCTGGCCAATATGGGGGAACCCTGTATCTACTAAAAATACAAAAATTATCCAGGTGTGGTGGCAACTACCTGAAATCCTGGCTACTCAGGAGGCTGAGGCAGGAGAATTATTTGAACCCAGGAGACGGAGGTTGCAATGAACTGAGATTGTGCCACTGCACTCCAGCCTGGGCGACAGAGCAAGACTGTCTCAAAAAAAAGACAAACCAGTAGAAAAATGGACATAAGACTAAACAGACACTTCACAAAAAGGGAAAACTAAATGGCTATATTAAAAGATGCTCAGTGTCGTTAGTCATCAGAGAAATACATATTCAAATCAGAATGATATGTCATTTTGGAACCATTAGATTGGAAAAATTTTAGCACCTATAAATTATTGGAGGGAGTATAAATTTATATAACCCCTTGGAAAACAACTAGGCATCATCCAATAAAGCTGAAGATGTACTCACAGTAGGACTATGCAATTTCATGCCTATGTAAACTTTAGCACATACATATCAAGAAAAATTCAGAGGACTATTCAAGATAGCACCATTTGAATTACCTGTTTTTAGAAAAAAAGAAAACATCACTAATGTCCACCAACAGTCAATGTATAGATAGATGATGGTATATTCTACATAGCAATGAAAACAAGTGAATTACAGATAAATCTAAGAAGTGTTACTGAGGGAAAACTAAGTTACAGAAGAATATACTCAGTATAATTCCATTTAATAAACTTCAAAAACATGCAAAATTAAAGTGTTGCTGAGGAATTAAAACATATATGGTAAAACTAAAGAAAATCAAAGAAAGATAAGCACTTTTTTTTGTTTTGTTTTGTTTTTTGAGACAGAGTCTCGCTTTGTCAACCAGGCTGGAGTGCAGTGGCGCAATCTCAGCTCACTGCAACCTCTGCCTCCTGGGTTCAAGTGATTCTCCTGCCTCAGCCTCCCAAGTAGCTGGGACTACAGGCGCCCACCACCACGCCTAGTTACTTTTTGTATTTTTAGTAGAAACGGGGTTTCACCATGTCAGCCAGGCTGGTCTTGAACTCCTGACCTCAGGTGATCCAGCTGCCTTGGCCTCCCAAAGTGCTGGCATTACAGGTGTGAGCCACCATGCCTGGCCTGATAAGCACAAATTTTAGACAGTGGTCACCCCTGTGGGAGAGAGACAGAGGATAAGGATGGACACCCAAAGGAGTGAAAGGTGTGGTGAGTTACAGAATAGGTAGTGAGGGTCCACACGTGTCCACTGGATCTTGAGTTAAACTTTAAATACTTTATGCATATCCTTTAGCATCAACTAAAAAACAAAAAAAGATGATTTCCTCCATCTTTAAACATACGCAAATTCTGTTACAGGCCCAGTGGTCACAGATTTTCTCTCCTGGACCCCCACTGTACTTTCTTGTGACATTCCATTCAGCCTTGGATAAAGGCTATGCCTCAGTTTCCTCAACTGCAAAACAAGGAACAATAATAGTGTCTACTTTCCAGGGTTACTGTTGGGATTGGATGTGTTCATACAGTCCACAATCTCTTACAAGAAACTTCTGCAGCCAGATGTATTTGGAATTCAAACTTTTTCAGATCTCAGAAACTGAATGAATACCTAGCATTCAAAAAGGATCTGGAGCAGCACTCCATAATCAAACACTTCCATATTTCTTCAGCGAAACATCTGGAAATCATCTCATACAGATTCAAGAGAATTGGGGGGGGTTATGAAAATGTTATAAAACTGGATTGTGGTAATAGTTACATATAGCTTTTTAAATTTACTAAAAATCACTGAATTGTACACTTAAAACAGGTGAATTTTATGGTAGGTAAACTATACTTCGATACAGCTACAAAAAATACAGCTCTCAGCTTTAAACAAAAAGTTCTCACATCAATTCAGGTCATGTTTTACCAAATGGATTAATAAAAAACCCACTTCAATTTTAGAGATTTCTGTATTTAGAGCTACATATCAAAGAATATGGACAGTATCTATAGAGCTCTCTGAACACAATGGCAGTGCTCAATATGCAAGTGTTTTTATTATCATTACTACTATTTTACTCAGCATAGTGTTTCCCAAAAGGAAATCTATAAACATTTTTGATGGGATAATTCTTCATAGTGATAAAATCCCACACACTAAATTCCAACAGCATCTCTCAATATTTGTGACTATTGCAGCTGCCCCACAGATTTCTAAATACTCTCAAGACGGGGTAATGCCAGTTGAGAACCACAAAGCCTATCAAACTCTAAGTTCCTTAAAGGTAGAGACCAGGGGCTTATTCATTGTGGTAAAATGAGACCACTACTTTGTACAAGGATATGTACAAAAATATCTGGCACAAAGCAACACACAAAATGTGTCTTCGTTCCTCTGCTTTTTAATTTTGTGTTTACATTTTCTTTTCCAACACATTTCAGAGAATATCAAATCAACTATGTAATCAAGACATGCAATGTAAAAGGGATAAAAAAATTACAGAACAAAAAAAAGCAATGAACATTTCATATTATAACAGTCTTTAAGAAATGCCTTACTATTTTCAGAACAAATTTCAAATGAGGTACACCAGTACTTCATCAAGGCCCAGTTTATCAAGCATTTATCACCAACTTATACCAATAAAGGTTCAAAGAAAATGGCACTAATTTATAAAGGTAACACTAAATCAAGAGAAGTATGATCTAGGAGCATACTGTGAAACACTGAAGATCAAAAGGAAGTAGTGTGTTTACTCTTTTCCTTGACAGCTACAGAGCTCTATGTCAACAGCCATCATACACGGTCCCAGGATGAAGCTTGTTCTCTACAACTCCCCACAGCCCTCCAATGACAAGGTGTACCATCTCTTTCCAAAGTCCCTGTCTGTGATTAGGATGCTCACTGCCAAAACTCTCACAGCTACCATGACAGAGAAATAAACGTAAAATAGGGGTCCAATCCCCTATTTCACAGGCATGGAGACTAAGACCTTGAGAAATGAAGAGGTTTGCCCAGAATCATGCAATAATTCATGAACAAGTACAGACCAGAATACGGCAGTCTTAAGTATAAGGCTTTCAAAGACCTATATCATTATTGACATGGTATTTTTGTACAGAGACAAGACAAAACAGAAGAAAGAAGATTTGCACCATCCTAGAGTGTGAAGAGCAACAGCTTTGGTGCTGGACAGGCCTGGATATAAATCCCAGTTTAGTCGTGACTTGAGATATGCTAGCAGTCCTCCCTGTGCCTCAGTTTTTTCACCCATAAAATGAGGATGAAACCATTTACCTTAGAAAGTAATATGGAGATGAATTAAGATAAAACATCTAAGAGCTCTCTCTGTGCCCTACCTAAGAAATTCAAAAGAAGACTGAGAAGCTACTGGGTTTACAAGTTGTATCCATAAGCATTCCATAGGATTTCTCTACCTTCTCTTGCTTTCCCTACCTTCGTTTCTCCAGAACAGGCAGAAAATATCAATCAAGAGGGGCTGCTGATCAGGGCCATAGAGCCATCCATGACATAAATTAGTGGTCAGCAAATTCTGGACCATGGGCCGAATCTGGCCCACTACCTACTAAATGGTTGTAAGAAATCAAAAAAATAATAATTCATGACACATGAAAAGTATAAGAAATTCAAATTTCAGTGTCAATCAATAGTTTAATGGTACCATAGCTATCTTTACTAGTTATGTATTGCTCATGGTTGCTTCTACGATAGCAGAGTTAAGAACTTATGACAGAGACTATATGACCACAGGACTAAAATATTTACTATTTGGTCCTATGTAGAAAACATTTGCCAACCTCCGCTTTAAAGTAAGGAAAACTTAAGCTTATTTTATCATAAGCATTATTTGAGAATTCCATGATACATATTATGAACACATCCTAGGATCTCACGAAACCAGGCTTGGTAAATCTCACTCTATGCAGGATTTAATTAATAAATAAACAGACTAACATGGAGGCTCCAGTTCCAGACAAGACGGAGTAAGAACTCCCACCCTATCTTTCCTACTAAATGCAAATATGTAAGCTAGACAGAAAACATGGACAATCAGAGGACTCTGAAAAGTAAATAACAACAAAGAGATTGAGAAATGAGACTAGAACTCAGAGTATCACCAAACCAGTGGGGAATTTTCCACTGCTTTCCCCGTCCAGTATCACCCAGTCTGGATTCAAAGGCAGCTCACCATCCAAAAATGCTAGCTGGGTATGGACAGAAATAACCTGAAGAGAACCCTCATTTTCTGGCCAAAAAAGGGGGGAAAAAAAGGAACTCCTAATGTTCAGAGAAATTCTCTGTATTGCTTTTGTTTTTTCCAATCTCTCCCACCCCAGCCCCCAGACAATCCCTCAGTACCAAGGAGCAGCAGCACAGGTGGAGCAGGTACCTACAACTCCGAGAAAAAAGAATGATTCTCACAAGAGTTGTAGTCCCAGAACAA